GGGACATCTGTAATACTTTCAACAATAAAGATAAATTATAAAAAGAATTTATATGCATAACCTATGGACACAGACAATAGTGCAGTGAAGGCTTGTGGGGTGGCGAGAGTGGGGTGGAGGATGTCAATGGGGGAAAAAGGGGACATCTGTAATACTTCCAACAATGAAGATAAATTTTTAAAATGTATTTATGTTTTACACAATACCTGGCTTAACATGCAGCTAGGATATAGATTTTGAGAAACTGCATTTCTAAACTACAAAGAAGGTGTATGGAATGAATGTAAAGTGAAAAAGCTGGTAAGAATAGAAAAGAATTGAAAATAAAACATATTATGTGTACCCAGATGTGCCAGTATATAGAGAATGTAGTAATTGCCTTAAGAATTCATTTCAAAGATGGTTATGGGCTTATTTTGATTATATTAATCTCTCTTTGCTCTCTATTTCATCATTATTTATTCACTATTTATGAAGTCCCTACTATGAGGCAGGCACTGTACTAGGTCACTGGGGATAACAGTATTCATGCTCCTTTAGTCAAGCTGCTTCTCATTGCTTGGGGTGAAAGAATCTGCTGTTATTAATATTTAACTTATTCATTCATTATAATGTTATTATAATCAGGGGAAAGGGAGTGGATGAGGCATGAATTAATATTTTATTATAGAGCATGATTAGGGAAGGGGTCTATGTATTGAGAAATAGAACAGAGCAGAGACATACAGTAAGTGAGGGAGTGGGTATATAGACATCTTGGAAAGGGTGCTTGAATCAGAGGGAAGAGTAAAAGTAAATTATGAGACAGAAGAACGCTTAATATTTTCAAGGAAGTGAAAAAGCCAATGGAGGGGTAGGGAGACAGTGGTAGGAGATGAAGTTAGGAAAGTAGAAGGGCTCTGTAATCTTTCCTCTGTTCTGAGAAGAGTGACATATTTCAACTTGAGCCCCACTTCTTTCATGAAGCCTCCCATACCAATTCATTCTAGAATGACCTCTATTTTTTTTAATATTTAAAAATTAAATTTATTGGGATGACATTGGTTAATAAAATTATATAGGTTTCAAATATACATTTCTATAACACATGATCTGTATAGTGCATTGTGTGTTCATCACCAAATGTCCAATCTCCTTCCGTCACCATATATTTGAACCCTTTTATCTTGTATTAACCTCACACCCCCTTCCCTCTGGTAACCACCATATTGTTGTCTGTAACTATGAGTTTTTGTTTGTTTTTCTTATTTATTCATTTGTTGCTTTCAGTTTTATACCCCACATATAAGTGAAATCACATGGTTCTTGACTTTTGCGTACAGCTTATCTCGCTTAGCATGATATTCTCAAGATCAGTCCACTTGTAGCAAATGGCAGCATTTCATCTTTTCTTATGGCTGAGTAGTATTCCATTGTATGTATGTAGCACATCTTCTTTATCCAATCCTCTATCAAAGGACACTTTCATTATGTTTTAAAAAATTTATTTATATTTTTATTTTTTTCCTTTTAATATTTTTAAAAATTTTTATCTTTATTCTTGAAAGTATTATAAATGTCCCCAATTTCCCCCCATGATCCCTCCACCCTGTACCCCTCCCACCAGGCCTTTACCTCAATATTGTTTGTGTTCCTGGGTTATGCATATAAATACTTTTTAAAAAATTGTTCAAAATATTACAGATGTCCCCTTTTCTCCCGATCGACCCCTTCCACCATGCACTCACACCCCTTCCAAGTCCCTCACCACTTTATTGTCTGTGACTTTGGGTTATGCATATATGCATACAAATTCTTTGGTTAATCTCTTCTCACCCACCCACCCCCACCTTCCCTCTATGATTCATCAGTATGATCCATGCTTCCAAGTCACTGGATCTATTTTGTTCATCAGTTTATTAACTTCTTTAGATTCCACATATAAGTGAGATCATGTGATGTTTGTCTTTCTATGCCTGGCTTATTTTGCTTAGCATAATATTCTCCAGGTCCATCCATACTGTCCCAAAGGGTACAAGATACTTCTTTTTTACAGCTGCCTAGTATTCCATGATGTAAATGTCCCACAGCTTTTTTATCCACTCATCTACTGATGGGCACTTGGGCTGTTTCCAGATCTTAGCTACTGTAAATTGCACTGCTATGAACACAGGGGTGCATATATTCTTTCTGATTAGTGTTTCAGGATTCTTAGTATATATTCCTAGAAGTGGGATCACTGGGTCAAAAGGCAGCTCCATTTTTAATTTTTTGAGGAACTTCCATACTGTTTTCCATAGTGGTTGCACCAGTTTACATTCCCACCAGCATTGGCCAGGGTTCTTCTTTCTACTCATCCTTGCCAGCACGTATCATTTGTTGATTTATTGATGGTAGCCAATCTGACAGATGTGAAGTGATACCTCATTGTGGTTTTCATTTTCATCTCTCTGATGATAGTGATGCTGAGCATGTTTTTACATGGCTCTTGGCCATCTGTATGTCCTCTTTGGAGAAGTGTCTTTTAGGTCCTTTGCCCATTTTTTAATTGGATTGTTTGTCTTCCTCTTGCTGAGTAGTATGAGTTCTTTGTGCAATTTAGAGATTAGCCGCTTAACAGATACATCCTTTGCAAATATGTTCTCCATACAATGAAGTTCCTTTTTACTTTAAGGCTGATTTCTTTTGGTGTGCAGAAGCTTTTTATTTTGATGTAGTCCAATTTGTTTATTTTTTCTTTAGTTTCTCTTGCCTTAGGAGATGAATCTGTGAAAATTCTACTACATGAGATGCCTGTGACTTTACTGCTTATCTTTTCTTCCAGGATTTTTATGGTTTTGTGACTTACATTTAAATCTTTTATCCATTTTGAATTTATTCTTGTGTATGAAGTAAGTTGGTAATCTGATGAGAAATTAGCTGTCAGCCTTATGGGAGCTCCTTTGTAGGTAATGGATTGTTTTTCTCTTTCTGCCTTTAAGATTCTCTCTTTGTCTTGAATTTTTTGGCATTTTAATTATGATGTGTCTGGGCATGGGCATCTTTGGGTTCTTCTTGCTTGGTAATCTCTGTGCCTTCTGAACTTGTGTGACTTTTTCCTTCACCAGGTTAGGGAAGTTTTCTGCCATTATTTCTTCCAACAGATTCTCTATCCCTTGTTTATTATATTTCCCTTCTGGCACTCCTATGATGCGAATATTGTTACATTTCACATCCCACAGCTCCCTTAAATTATACTCCTGGTTTGTTTGTTTTGTTTTTTATCTTTATTGATTTTA